AATCACTAGATTGTTCTTGGGTAAAGGTTTTGTGCCAACAGTTATATAGTATAACCCAGAAGAGAAAACAAAAAGTTTTTCAAGTACATACTGATAAGTGTTTAAATGTTGCACATTTCAGCACCTAAGCTAAGGTATTTCAGTCTTTGCATCTATCTTAATTTTATGTTTTAGTCATAATTTATGTTTATGTGTATTTCAGGGTAATAAAGTTAAAATGAGCTAAGAACGGTCCAATTAAGCCTTTTTGGAGTTAAGCAAAGATTTTCAGACAATGGCACAAAGCGATCAATTTCGGGCCTTTGATGATGTTCCCAAAGATGGAGAAGCAAACCAAATAGCCCGGGGCAAAAATGGAGCTGAATAAGGCTTAAAGGAATTTGTCAACTCTGGGGGGATCGATCCCCGGGGTGGGGGATCGATCCCCCAGGACTTAGCAACATTACAGTTCTTATTTAATTTTTGGGCTCATTTTGGAAACTGTTGGGCTTTAATGAGATTGTTACTTAAGGCCCAGTGAGCCATTAGATTAGGGTTAGTTTTAGTTTTTATTTAGGTAAAGATTATTAGAGAAAAAAAAATTAAGTTTGATTTTATTTTTTTTCTGTATCGTAGTATCGTATTTTCTCTCTGGAAAAACACGCGAAAAAAAGAGAAAAAGCAAGAACAGGCTAGGGTTTGGAAGAAAAGTTCAGAGAAGATGAAGCAGATGATGGGGATTGTCCTGTCTTCGACTCCATCAACCATGAGTGGCTGATTTTTCTACTTAGGGTTGGATAAACCCTAAGCATGTAACCTATTCTCTCTCTCTTTTCATACTTTTTGGGGATTAATTTATGTAATTAGTGTATAGTCTTGAATATTATGAATTAAATTCTTCCAATTGATTATCTGTATTAATCTCATATTGTCTTATGTGTGGTTGATTGATAAACAAATTTTACACATGAATTATTTGTTAATTGATTCTTGTGATGGCTATGCATGGTATTGCTTAGTTGTAATTGTGTTTCTAATTGATGAAAAATGCTTCAATTTGATGGATGGTACTACATGTTTAGGTTAATTTGTTGTCTAATTAGTTTTAAATTCATATTTAATTAGTTTAATTTAAGTTTAATTAATTTAATTGCAATTCAATTATTAGGTAAGTAGACCATCCATACTTATATTTGAATTCCATACTTTTTGTCACAATTGCATTATCTTCTAGATTAATGTGTGTTAAATTTGTAACTTGGATTGATAAATCATGCTTTGAATGGGTGAATTGCACTACACTTAGTTTAATTGTCATTAGGTAGTTGATTCATGCTTGAAATTGATGGTTTACACTTTTCATTGCACTTGTTAGCCACATATAAATTACATAGTATTATTTCCCCAATTAGTTGAAAGTGGGTGAGTTAGGGAATGTGCTAGTGGTGAATCCTACACCCTAAGTCTCTTTCCAATCTCTTAAACTCTATTTCTTTATTGCAATCATTTAGTTTAAAATTAGTTTTAATCACAAACAAAACCCTTTTGGCAATCACATAAGCACTAAAATAGAATTCAATTCTGGAAAACCTATAATTGTTTAGATCTCTTGGGACGATCCCTGCTCACTTCATACTCCATAATATAAGTGTTTAGTGGTTTTATAAATTTTAAAATATGGTGCCCACTTGACATTATTTCTAAACCTAAAGTGTTGTGCATTATTTTGTGCACACGCTCGGTAGCACCATATCTGACGAGGGCCGTTCCAATACGCCAAACTAAATGTAGTGAATGTGTGGTTCAAGAGAAGCCTTTTATGTCAAATTTAAATTTATAAAAACCACTACCAACACCACTACTAACGTAGCAAGAGTGAGTAGGGATCGTCCCAAGGGATTATACGTGTTAGAATTTCAACTTCGACTCTAGCGTACCAAATGATTGCAAAAGAGAGTTGGGTTGGTTGATTACTTCTAGAAAAGAATTAATTAAAATGCAATAAAAATAAAAATAAGTAAAGATAGGGATTTAAGAGATGAGAAGAGAGGACTTAGGGTGTTGGAATCACCACTAAGCTCATGTAATTAATCACTTGCTTTCCATTAATGGGGAATACATTGTTGTGAACAAAATTGGTTCGACTAGCAAAGGTGACTCAACAAGTGTATAATGTCTAAACAACATGTGAAAGGCTACAATATATCTATTGGAAGAGGAATATATTGTCTAGACAACATGTGAAGAGAACAAAATATCAAATCAAGTCATTAAACCTTTCATTAAGCTCATAGTCCAAATAATTCACAAGGATGACTTAGTTAAACATGTATTGTCTAAACATCATGTGAGAGGCCACAATTTATCTATTGGGAGAGGAATAAATTGTCTAAACACATGTGAAAGATACAACATATCATAACTAGTCATTAATCCTTCATTAAGCTCAAAGTTCCATTACACCACAATATTAGAGCATATGCTTCTTGCATTCAAAAACATGGAACATCAAAGAACAAGCATGAATTGTCTCTCCCATCTAACACTACACTACAACTACACTACTAGCATGAAAATAAACTAAGGGAGAGGTACAATCCATCAAGGAATAAGTATGAACCATCAAGAGACATAACAAGAGCATTCCATTAAGCACTAATGTCTAGCCATCACTAGATTCTCAATCAATCACATATAGACATGCAATTAATATAGAAAAACTAGTGTAGAGATCAATTCCCCAAATAATCACACATAAGACAACATGTAATTAAAATAGAGAATCAATGGAAGAATTAACCCATATGAATCATGTGAGACATAATTCCTAATTTAATCACACATAGACATGTAAATAAACTAGAGAATTAATAGGAAGAATTAGACCATGGAAATCATAGAAATATGCCAAGATTCATGAAATTCACAAGGCTAGAACACTAATCACAACAATATATATAAAAATCCCCAAAAATAGAAATACAAGGGTTTAGATTACACAAGACTTAGGGCTCATCCAAGCCCTAAGTGTAGATCTAGTCAATCATGGAGGAGGTGGATGTAGTCATGGAATCAAGCTCCAAACATGGCTCCATCTTCTTCTTCCTCTTCTTCTTCTTCTTCTTTGAAGCTCTAGAGATGGAGAAATAGTGGATTTAGAGATGTGTTCTTGAGATGTGCCTCCACTTCTCTCTTTTCTTCTAACCCTAATCTCTAACTTTTCTAGAGAGAGAAATAAAAATTACAATGTAGAAAAAATAATGATAAAAAGCCTAAAGAATCCCTTTTTACAAATGCGTTGCTTCCCTTTATATAGAAGGTTCTTTTCTTAGTCACTAAGTCTAGAATATATGCCTAAAAATATCTAATCCCGCAACTTTTTGGTAGGTGAACTTTTGGGCGCGCACGAAAAAAGTGACAGCTTGTTGCCAGCATGTCCAATTCGATCGATCCAACTTATTTTCGATCGATCCAACTTTTTCGATCGATCCAACTTATTTTTCGATCGATCCAACTTATTTTTCGATCGATCCAACTTTTCTGATCTATCCAACTAAAAGTTCGATCGATCCAACTTTTTCTGCGATCCATCTAACTTTTCAGCTTTTCGGTATCAGCTTCTTTTTGCTCCAAATCAGCCTCTTTTTGCTCCGGATCATCGCTAAGACTTAGTTTGACTCCAAAAAGGCCTTAAGAACTCATTTTTAGCCCATTTTAACATTATTGACCTGAAATAGACAAAAACACAAATAAGTACTAAAACGGGTAAATAAGATAGATAAAGGTCCTAGAATACTCAAGCTTAAGGGGTTTAAATGTGTACTTTTCAGCGCTCATCACATACTTTTTAGAAGTAATACAGAGATATTCCACATTTCCTTCATTCGTAGTCTTAATGTGATACCCATTTTGACGTAAGTCTTTAAAGCTTAATAAATTTCTTCGAGATTTAGTAGAATATAAGGCCTTATCAATGTGTATTATTGTTCCACATAGTAAAATAATATCGGCTTTTCCGGAGCCTTCAATCAAACTTGTGGGACCTGAAATTATACTTACACTAGGCTTAGTCAATGTTAAGTGGGAAAAATATTTCTTATCTCAAAGAATTATATGTGTTGTTCCACTGTCTGCAAGGCATATATCATCGCCATTAACCAATGCATTTGATAGATCCATGCCTATATATATCATGCAAAATTCATATTTAGACTTTATGACAATAGAAACTTTAATACAAGGATAGTAAAAGAAACTTTTAATTCAAATGCAACTGAAGAAACTTTTGTACAAGCACAACAACAAAAACAAACAACAACAAAAATAACAACAACAAAATACAGACTAATGATGACATGATAAAATAAAGTAGAGTTTAAGTAGTGTGGACATTTCTATCACCAATCAAGTGGTCAATTTTTCCATCACTATTCTCAAAGAAATCTGACATGTCTAGATTTATGATATCCACTGGCTCATTGAAATCAGTGAAATTCATTTATATCTTTTTCCCCTTTTCCTTCAGTGAGGCTTGGTACAGATCAGCTAAGTATTTAGGCGTACGACAGATACTTTTCCAATGCCCTGTCATTCCACACCGATAACAAATATTTGCATCTGTCTTTGAAGTTAGAGCCATATTTTCCCCCTTTTCATTATAATCTATTTTCTGGGGATATGGTGTGAATCTCTGATTATTAGAATTTAAGGATTGATAACATTCACGGTAATAAGAATGATTTCTTCTACGACCATATTCGCCATTATAACCATTTCGATTACCATAACCATCTTCATTGCAATTTCTACTACCACGACCATCATTACTACCACGCCCACGTCCACGTCTATGTCCACGTCCTCGTCCATGAAGCGAGGCAACGTATATACGTTTTAGGGATCAGTGTTGATCTAGTTGGACGGGACTAGTAGTTTCTTAACAAAAGTTCGTTATTTTGTTCAGTCACAAGTAAACATGATATTAGCTCTGAATATTTTTCAAATCTACGCTCACGATATTGTTACTGTAAAAACACATTCGAGGTGTGAAATGCGGTGTATGTTTTTTCCAATAGGAGCTCATCAATGACAGTATCACCACATAATTGTAACGTAGAGCTGATTTTAAATAGAGCAGAATTGTATTCAACCACAGTTTTGAAATCCTGCAACCCCAGCTCTTGCCAATCGGCTCGAGCTTTTGAGAGGATAACAGTTTTCTGATGATCGTATCTTTCTTTTAAATTTTTCTGCAAATTCAGTGGATCTCTTTCAGTGAGATATTCAGTTTTTAGTTCCTCACTAATATGGTGACGAAGAAAAATCATGGCCTTTGCCTTATCTTGTAACGATGCATCATTTTTTTCTTGAATTGTGATTTCAAGACCTATGACATCTAGATGGATCTGAGCATCCATAATCCAAGATAAATAATTTTTGCCTGAAATGTCCAGAGCCACGAATTCCAGCTTTATCAAGTTCGACATTTTCAGAATAACTAGATGTAATAACAACACAATTTTAGCATAGTATAAAAATAAGCGTATATTTTAATAATAAAATGGCATTAAGTAAAACAATATGAACTATTATAATTTAAGCAATAAAGACGGTGAAACCGGCCATTAAATAATTAATTGATAAAAGCAATTAAACCGATCATTAAATAAAAAAGGCAGAAATAAATACAATTTTCTTACCCTTTTGAATGAGAAATACAATATTCTTTGGTAAATTAAGCAAACCCAACAATCTACCAAAACTAATATCACAAAATAGATATATCGAGTTGAGATAGAAATAGAGCTTATTTTTCAAGTCTCAAATGGTTAGAGCTCAGACTGATAACGTGTTGTAAATATAGGAAAAAATATAATCTAAGGCGAAAAAGAACTGCAAATAAGGAAGAGAGAGAAATCTACTATGATTTAATTCTTTTCATTCAAGTGTATCAATATAATACACCATTACCCCTATTTATAGGGGATGAAACCGACTATAGCCGTCATATGCACCAATAGTTTTAAGTTCATTCTTCTCTTCAGTAATCGGCGCCATCATCACAATTGATCAAGTTGCTTTACAATTCACAACCTCAATGCATGTATTGACATTGCATTAAAGATTGTGGAGCCCACAGGTATTATAACAGAACTCATATTTTATTAAACACAAATACATTACTACAATACGTACGAATTTAAGAATGCAAGTTTGTTTTGAGTACCATAACCTCATTTAGAAGGTTGTTATGGTATAGAATGTTCGAAAATAGTTTATGTGAACCAACAATGACAATACCTGCAATTACATAAAATAATCATAATAATAATAATAATAATATAATTGATGATTTTCTAAAATTAGGTTTCAAAGCAATGACACCATATCTATGTATCAAGCCACGTTAAAGGAATTCTGTCGAATATGACTTCAACTAAAGTGATTCTTATGACGTTGGGTTGTAATAGCAAATAACCATTTCATAAAAGTACTTTGGAATGTAATAGGGGAAAATTCGAAATGTTCCATCTCGAGTTATATGTGATCAAAACCAACCATATAAAATTTGCAATAACACTATAAATACATCATGTAATGTTGTCCCCTACATTACTATAGTGTGGCAATCTGTCATATCAGATAGTGTCCCCTCCAGTGATCGATGCTCCTAACAAGTCTTAGGCATGAAACTGGTATCTTTCAAAATGATCATGAAAGAGAAAAAGAGGATTTATTTTAACAAAGAGCCAAAATTCACTATAAATATAAAATAAAAATAAAAATTGTGAATATACATATACAGTAGTGTTCAATTGCTCCCTGGTGAGTAGGGAGTAGTATACTCACTTTTACTCATAGCCTTAGAATCTAATCCAATGGTTATTGGGGAGAATAATTATTTTAGGAAATTAATATTATTTTAATTAGCCATTAATTATGAAATGACTATATTGGATACATTCTTAAAGAAAAAAAAATATTTAACCATGAACTGCCATCACCCCACCGCCACTATCACCTCTACCCCACCATCACCTCCCCCACCACACCACCACCATCACCACCACCACACCACACCACCTCCACCCAAACAGATTTGATGGCTACTTTTGACTAAGAATTACCAAATCTACAAATTAATTGGCGATTTGAGAGACAACGGGTGAAGCTTGCAAAGGGCGAACCCAAACAGGAACAGTGGCGATGGAAACTGAAAGATATGGGTTTTGATATAGGTTTTCAACTTTTGATTCTTGCAGACTAAAATGAAATATATGGGTTTTGAACTTCTGATTCTTGTAGATTTTGTAGTTTGCAGTTGCACAGAAAGAGAAAGAGAGAGGGCAAGTTCAGAGTTGAGAACGAGAATAGAGATGGAGGCGATTGGGGAGGCTGGAATGATTTGCCCTAAAAGTATTGATATATATATATATATATATATATATATATATATATGGGCAAAAACAACCAACCTGTCAAATGGTCAAATCTACCGGTCAAAAAATAGATTTGGTACTGGAGTTGCTGCAGTTGTAGGATTTGACTGATTTGATTCGATATAGTGATAATGATATTCGGTGTTTGGAGTTTGACAAAGTACGATAATTTATCATCAAAATAATAATTACTAAAATTTTGAACTACTATATTTTTATTTTTTTCTCGTGGCCCATCATCTATGGGCTATAAATTTTGAGGCCCCTTAAATTTTGAGGCCCTAGGCAACCATCTTTGTCGCTATGGGTCAGGGCCGGCCCTGGACTTATTTGGCTTGTGCCTTTATTTTAGTTTGATGGCTAAGTTAACTTGGGCTTAATTGGGTGGACTAATACTATTATTTATTTATTTTATTTATTTATTATTATTTTTTTTTGCTGAGCTAAAATTAGTATAGTAAAAAAAATTATTTTTTTATGTACTGTTGACTAAATATGAGTCCACTAAATCATACTGCAATATAAAAAGATAATGAGAATATATATATATATATATATATATATATATATATATATATATATATATATTCTTACATGTAATACCCCTACTTTTAAAAGGATAGTCTCAGTATTTATTTATTTGTTTTAATTGTATTTTTAATTATTTAATTGATTATTTGACTAATTACTTATGTGTTTAATTAAATTAAGTGTTACTTGAATAGTTGATTATGTGTCTATGTATTATTTATATTTGTCTGTGTGTTAATTGTTTAATTAGATTATGTGCTTAAATGGTATTTTGATTAATTATAAATTAAATGTTTTATTTTATTTTATTTTATTTTTCTTTTATGGTTATGATTAGTAGTAATGGGCCAACCAATTGGGTCCCATGGACTACTTAGATAAGAGGTTGGATGGGTATGGATTATTACCAAAGGATAGCTGTGTGTATATATATATATATAAATATATATTATGTACATATATAAAAGGGAAAGTAATTTATTAATTACTTTTATGGTAGCTTGGATAGTAATATTTAATCTAATGTATATGTTTTATATTTAAATAATAAAAATATATATAGATTTGATACATGTTATGTTTTAAGTTACTTTATAATATTATGGTAACTTAAGTATTATTGGATAATCCATTAATAAATAATGGGTAATGTATTAATTACTTTTATGGTAACTTGGGTAGTAATATTTAATCCGATGTATATGTTTTATATTTAAATAATAAAAATATATATAGATTTGATACGTGTTATGTTTTAAGTTACTTTATAATATTATGGCAACTTAAGTATTATTGGATAATCCATTAATAAATAATGGGTAATGTATTAATTACTTTAATGGTAACTTGGGAAGTAATATTTAATCTGATATATATGTTTTATATTTAAATAATAAAAATATATATAGATTTGATACGTGATATGTTTTAAGTTACTTTATAATACTATGGTAACTTAGGTATTATTGGATAATCCATTAATATATAATGGGATGTGTATAATTTATTTATTTAATAAAGATATACATAAATTATATACGTAACATATTTTACTTACCTTTTTAATATTTTAATATTTATTTTATTTAGCCTATAAATATATAGCTATATGTTGTAAAAAAGGGTTAGAAATATCCACGTGATATATTCTAGAGAGAGAGACTAAGAAAGGGAAGGAGGAAAAGGAAGGAAGGAGAAGAAAAACCCTGTAGAGAGAAGATCAAGAGAGAAGAAGTTTAACTTTCGATCCGAAAGTTTAAGACAAGTTCTTCTTGTATCTCTTTCCTTTTGATTCGTGTTTCTGTACATGCCTAAGAAATTTTAGGATTTATTAAACACATAAAATTAAATAATTTTGCATGTTTAATTGGATTAGAATATAGGTTTTATGAAATTGGTTCATATTTGTTCTTGTGTTATTAATTAATAAATATATGATTTTGATTTGATTTCTGGTGTGAATTTTTACATGTTTAAATTATGTATTTTTCATATTTGTGGAATGATCAAATGTAGAAACATGTCTAGGATTCCTGAACATTAAATAGAGACTAAGTTTGGGTTTAAATAAATTTAAATAGACTCAATCATAATGATGATTGCTATTTGAATGTTTTAAACAAACAAATGGATTTAATCTTTTAAAATGTTTTAGCAATTGAGATTAAATGTGTAGGATGAATTGGATATGGAGAATGTTTATTTGACGATATAATAAAATATCATCATATATAAGATTCAGTTTATGTAGAACATATGATATAGGAAGTTTAAATAAATAATAAGTCATTCCTATTTTGTGATAACTTGATATCATATTATCATAGTTATTTTTGAATTGTTTGATATATTTCCTTAATCGTTACATCAATTGGATTGTGTGGTTTAATGTACCGGTATGAGACGGTGGCATTCTAGGGACGGATTAACTTATCAGCTAAGTCCAACCTATTTTATATAAGGGAATGGATTAACTAAAATATTAAGTCCTACTTTTATTCAAGTCAGGTTAGCTGAACAAGTTGAATGGCTTATGGTGGATTAATTTATACTGGATAGGATGGTTACTTGATTAGATATATATATATAAGTATGGTGCCATGATATGAGCTTGAGTCTCAGGATCAGTGGTTAGGGCGCGTATATCGCTAGGGATGTGTAGCTAGATATAGTGTAGTTGTGTACCCTGGTAGGTCTAGGTACTCATGCCTACTATATGTGCGTTTTGCATGTTGCCTACTATTGAGGTTAATACAACCCTATAGTCTAGTGAGGTTCCTTTAGTGTGTGTGTGTGTATATATATATATACGGACTACTAGTTACTGTTGGATTGACTAGAATGTATACGTGTATCGGATCTCTGCTTGAACTGTAGTAGAGTAGAACTTGTTTGTGGGCCTGACCCACTATTATTTTTCAGGTGTTCGTTAGGAGTAAAGGTTATTCTTGCGGAGCGGGGATCAGTCTACTTCATTCTTCCGATTCTACATAGGAGATTCTTTTATATTTCGTTCTTCAGTTGTAGATAGTTATTGCTGTCACTTGTTCAGATTGGTTTTTAGGGGTCCACACAGTATGGATTCCCAAGTTGTATTAATGGAAGATTTATTGTATCAAAATGATTTTATTATTAATGGAAATTTATTAAGAGGTTTTATTATTAGATTTTTCTTTTAGTTTTCTTTCAGCAAATTATTTATTCTTATTTATTCTTTTGTACTTTGTATTCGTTTATTGTCGATTTTATTTTTAATATCCTTAGGTATTCGGGCGTGGGCCTGGTCAACCCCCATTCGGAAATCCGGGAGTATCACATTACACAAACACATATACATACAAGAGATAACTCAAGCACTCAAATCTGTCAAAATATAAGAGACATTTCAATTGCAAAGTGTTCAGAGTTAGGCCAATCTTGGGTTCTAGGTGGGCTAGACAAGTTATATGCATTGTTAGGCCCCAACCCATATAAAGTTTATCTTCCACAAAGGGACACACAATAAAGGTCCAGAATCAATTGTACTCTTCTAATTCCTTCTTCTTCTTCTTCTTCTTCTTCTTTTTTTTTTGGTGATGTAAAAGACATATTAAAAATCTTGACAAATTAGTAGATGGTTAGACCAAGGATACTTACTAGTCCACTTGAAATAAGACTCTGATTAAAAAAAACTAGTTTCGCAAGAATATAATAAGATATTATAAAGAAATTTAATCATTAATTTTGATTGGATTGGATAACAAAATGGGACCATCCAATAAATTCTCTAAGAAAGTGTGATTTGATATCATTCAATTTTTTCTTCAAGTATAACCCCTCAATTTGGGTACAAAAGTAAGAAAAGAAATCGTGAATTTGTGATAAAATCTAGAAAATATGAAGGGAAAAAGAAGAAGGACTTCTTATAACTTTGTACAAGTTCAATTTTCTTTATAAAAGTAGCAAAATGATGAGGAAAGATGAAATTTACTTTATATTTTCCATTCCATTTCATTCTTTTCATTGTTTTATTTTTATTTTTTATTTTTCTCACTATTGTTGAGAACTGAATTAAGAGTCTAGCTCATCAAAGACAATAGAACAACGATATTTACTCTTCCATCCAAGGTTGGGACCGTCCATAATTATCACAATACAATATTAACACCTAAATTCTTCTAATACATTTTTTGATAGGTTTGATGGACATATCCCTCCTCCTTCTCTGAAACCAAATGAGGATTCGATTGAAGCGTTTTCTTAATCTAAGTGGACGAAAGAGGATCTCCTTCAATGCATCCTGTGCACCAAAATGATACCCTTTTTTTTGGGGGGCTTAAAGAGGATCCTCTTCAATGCGTCCTATGCACCAAAACGATACCTTTTTTTTGGGTGGGCTCCCTTAATTATAAGTAATGTTGGTGGCGATGAAAGGCAGTGGCGGTGGAGTGTAGTTGCAACAACAATGGTGGTGGTGGTGGAGTGGGGGGTGGCGGCAATAACAGTGGTGGCAGTGGAGTAAGGTTGTGGTAGAAGATAGTGGTGGTGGTGAAAGGTGGTGGCAACGATGGCGGCAATGGCGAAAAGTGGTGGCGGAAGGCAACAATGGTGTTGGTGGCGCGAAGGAAGGTGTTAGTAGCAGTGGTGGTGGTGGAAGGTAGTGGTTGTGGTGGTGGTGTTGGTGCAGAAGGTGGTGACAGTGGTGGTGGTAGTGGATTGTGGTGGCAGCGGTAGTGACCAACAATTTCATTCCCTATAATGAATTTTTATTCTATCTATTTAGATGAGAAATGGATTATCATTCCAAATAAATGTTCATTCTCATGCTTAAATATTATATTAAATAAGAAAATGATTGAAATAAAATATTTTATTCATGCGTACTAAACGAAACATCATGTACTATTTATGCAACACAATACATCGGCTATGTAATATTATAATATAAATCAACCAACACAATACATCCGTTGTGCAATATTATAATATGAACTAATCATGTAAAGTCATATGTCACATAAGAGGATCTGAATTCTTTAGTGTAAGGTTAGAAGCTCAAAAAAATAATAATAATAAATAAATTGAGTACGAAACTAATTAAATATTTAGAACAAAATAATATCAAAATGTTACTTTATCTCTATCTTTTCTTCATCGCACTCAAAAACTCATAAATGTGTGAAACAATCTTTTAATAGAATTAATAATAATTCATAAGGATACAAGTTTGGACTACCAAAAACTTAATTCCTCCGCTTTCATTCGTAAAGGCGGAAGTTAAGACGAAAAAAAAGAACCGACCGTTCAAGTATTCGAAATTGCATGAAAAGTTAAAAGTAGACATACTATCATTTCTATTTTCAAAATCAAATAATTTTTGTATTTGTTATTTTATTAATTTACTTGTGCCGAACTCATTTTTATAACCCTCAAATGACCTTAACATTGTTCATCAAAATTGGACTTTTCTGATCCTAATTCTTGTGACCCACTTTAATATATGTAACATTTTTATCAGGATAAGGTTATTTTTTAAGGAAGCACAAGTACTTATTTTAAGCTATCTCAAATCTTCCAATATTTTATAGATAAGCGGATACGGTCCGAAGACATGTCGAATACGACTAAAATATCTTAATAGTGAATATTTTATTTTTTTATCGAATACGGTTGGAATACGATAGGGACAATGCAATAATACGTTTAGACACTTTTAGTGATTTTGTGATTATTTGTTAAGGATTATTACATATAAATGGTGCTAATGATCCATATTTAACATCTGATGATGAAGTCAAAGTTTTATAATTTCGAAAAAATGAAGTTGACAAAAATGGTGACTTGGATATGGAAAAACACAAGGTACCACTTTTAGGCGTATAAGTACCACTTTTTGTCCATCATGTATCACTTTTGTTTTTGGTATAGAATTACTACTTTTTGTGCACATCGGGTATCACTTTTTGTGCATCAATTACGATTATTTGTACAACACAAAAAGTAGTACTTGACGACAAAAAGTAATACATTCTAGCACAAAAAATAGTACCAATGAGTCTAAAAGTTACTCTGTGAGAGTAAATAGTATTTTGTCATATCTTCATTTTTTTGAAATTATGAAATTTTGACTTTATCAAATGGTAAATATGGATTATTAATACCATTTATATGTAATAATCCCTATTTAAAAAAAAAAAATTCAATACAATTTAAAAAATACTATGAATTAATTAAAAAAAAAATATTAGATTTAAGAAAATAAAAATTAGGGTATACATTTAACCTCCCTTGACTTTCACCATTTTGCAATAAAACTCCCCTTTACTATATTTTTGTCAATAAAGCCCCCTTCAACTAATCGAGAGGATTTTTTTATTTTTTTATTTTTGCAAAAAATACCATCACCAACCAAATTAAAGGTGATTTCTATGCAATTTGTCTAATAGTGTGAATTTAGTTAATTTCTTTTCTTAAATAATAATATTTAAACTTATATTTTTCGTTACATGTATTATTATACTTTTAATTAAAGAAAAATATTAAAAAAATTAAAAAGAAAAATTCAAAGTTGTGAATGCAAACACATGGTAAATATGGATCATTAACACCATTTATATGTAATAATACCTATTTAAAAAAAAAATTCAATACAATTTAAAAAATACTATGAATTAATTAAAAAAATATTAGATTTAAGAAAATAAAAATTAGGGTATACATTTAACCTCCCTTGACTTTCACCATTTTGCAATAAAACTCCCCTTTACTATATTTTTGTCAATAAAGCCCCCTTCAACTAATCGAGAGGATTATTTTATTTTTTTATTTTTGCAAAAAATACCATCACCAACCAAATTAAAGGTGATTTCTATGCAATTTGTCTAATCGTGTGAATTTAGTTAATTTCTTTTCTTAAATAATAATATTTAAACTTATATTTTTCGTTACATGTATTATTATACTTTTAATTAAAGAAAAATATTAAAAAAATTAAAAAGGAAAATTCATAGTTGTGAATGCAAACACATGCTAATTCCTTAACGCGTGTCTAGTATTGTTAAATTCTGTAATATCTATCTATATATATATATATATATATATATATATATATATATATATCATTTTTTTTTACTTAAAAAATAATAATAATAATAGAGAAAAGTTTACTATTCTGTGCCATACAAATACTTGTTGTAATTAAATTTTATTTTTGACAATCTAATTGGTTTATCAAATATCAATCTCATATACTTATATATGTACACATTATATAAAATAAAAATATACTATCCGTTAATTCAACTCTAAATTCTAAATTATTAATTTATTTAAAATTATATAAATAAAATGGTAAAAAAAAATACTTTATTTATATACTAACACAACCCCACTTTGAAAGGTGGCTCAAAATATACTATCGGTTAATTTTAAAAAAAATAAATAAATAATTAGAATTTCATTGTTAAAAATGGAAAAAGGAAAAAATAAAAAATTTGCCATGATTTACGAGACGACAGTGAGCCAAATTCTAAATTATTAATTTCTCTCTACTTCTCTCTGGTGAATGTCAACAGAATGATCATTATAGGAATTCTTTGTCCTCTTCCATGGCTTGAATTTCCCCCACACAGAAAAAAAAAAAAAAAAAAAATCTTCTCAGATCATCATCTTCTTCTTCGCTTAGACCACCACCACCCATAAAAATCTTCTCTCTAAAAACTCTATATAACTCAAGGATCAGGCGTGGATCGACCCATGATGGTGATAACGAACTTGCCGGCACCAAACTTTTCAAATCTGGCGGTAGAATCCTCCACCATCAACTTCCTCTGCAGTTATGGCGGTAGAATCCACTACAACACAGCCACGCGGTCAAATCAAAGATGGGTGAGATTAAAAAACAAACAAAATCAAGGGTGTTTTTGTGTGCTTTACTTTTCACCGCTATGTTTCAATTCTGTTTCTCATCTGCCAAACAGATTCACAACAACAAGAAAATGCAGACCCAATCCCCCAATTGTATGGGTTCCTCCTTCATTTTCCCTGTTCATGGAGATGTCTATCCTAATGGGTATGTGATTATGTCTCTATATCCATAAATTCTTTCATTGGTTTTTGTGTTTGTTAACTGATTGGATTTTTAGGTTTTTAGGATTTTTTTGGGATTGTATAATTTGTTGATTTTTTGTTTTGGGGAATTTTCTTTTCCTTTTACTTCTTCTTCTTTTTTTTTTTTTTTTTTTTTTTTTTTCAACTTTCCTGGAAAATTTCATGACCCATTTGTTTCATGTCTAAAATTTTTGCAGTTTCTTTGAAAAACAAATCTCTAATTTCTGATGAGTTTTCCCAGAAATATTAACTGTCACATGCTCTAAAGGATTGACACCATTCGTATGATTAGTCCCATTTTATAGATTGATAGAACTTATATACATAGCTGAATTTTGACAAATGTGGCATTGTATATCAATCAAAATTTTATATAACTCAATATATAGTCAAAACTCTTCAGAATATATATCATGGATGTATCAAACAGGGGAACCAAAATTTGGTTGGTCCAATTTTTGTAAGTCGTCGAGGGGATTGGATGAATTGGTAATTCCTCTAATTTGATTCGTTTACCTTTTGCACCTACTTTCACAAGTTGGAATTTGGTAGATAATATTAGTGACCCTTTTATCGAAATTGAAATTCCTGGTAACTCATCATGCTATTACTCTTTCTATGATTTGCATGAAACAATGATATGGCTGTGACTCTGACTAAGGCTTTGTCGAGTTGAAATGAATCGAGTATTATTTACTTAATATATAAGAGAATCAACACCACTTTTCCTTGGAACTTCATTTTTTTTTTCCTTTCTAATGGGGGTTTCATTTCATTTTTTGGGGTAAAAAGCAAGAATTTATTACCAAAAATATGAGATTAACAAAGAATTAAGCTTCCCCAGAGACGTATCTCCTAGCAGTTTCATGCGTGTGTACATTTGTCATTTACACTGATCAAAATTCATAGAATTTTCATGATAAGCTTCTTCTAACAAACTTAAGAGCCTTAAGTTCGTTTCAATATGCAGGTTCTTCTATGTTTCAGTGAACATAGGAAATCCACCCAAAACCTACCATCTTGATATAGACACCGGCAGTGACCTTACATGGGTCCAATGTGAAGTACCAGCCAACCTGCACAAGGTAAATTCTTCATTCATTTTTCTTAAAACAAGTAAACTCAAGGACTATTCTTCACTGTTTTCTCTTCTCTCCCCCTCTATACATGTGTGTATACAGCCCCACCACAATCCATACAAGCCCAAGTACAATGTTGTATGCTGTAAGGACCCCTTATGTGCCTCTGTCAACCAACCACCGGATCATCCCTGCAGGATCCCCGATGATCGATGTCACTATGTGGTTGAATATGCCGACCATAGTTCTTCCCTTGGTGTGCTGGTTAGAGACTACTTTACCTTCAATGAGGCTGCTAATAGGCACATTCTGGCCTTTGGGTAGGTAATTGCCTTCTCACTTTATTAGAACCAAAACTTGCTTAAATGTGATCCCAACTTACTTTTTTTATCTTAGTCAAATTCGAGAACAACTACTATCTTCTGTTTTTTCAGACAATGGTCAATTAGCATTTTTGGCATTCATTTCTGACTTTCAAAAAAAAAAAAAAAAAGCAGCAATATCCTTTTTCTTTTTTCCGTTTTAATTTTCATTAATGAGAGAAAGTGCTTCAAATGTCAACAATCTATGTTACCTTGCGTTTGTTTCCCATAGAGATTCAAGTTGTCAAAATGCAGAAATGACTCATGCTTGAAGTGAACTATCAAACTTTTTATTTTTCACCTTTTATTTAAAATTTCTACCCATCTATCTCTTTAGTGTGAAAGAAAGAGCATATCTTTGCCCACCCTTTATCCTCGGTCGACTCAAGAACATCGATAAGCTAAACCAATTAGATGTTGGTCCCAAATATTTTGGGCTAAGAAAAATAACCTTCAAAATTTATACTTCCTCCGTCCTAATTTAGTTGTTCATCTTTCCTTTTTGGGTTGTCCCAAAATGCTTGTCCACTTACCAAGTTTAAACAACATGTTTCACATCTTTCCATAAAATAGCCTTAAAATTTTAAAAAATTTCGAACTTTATATATTTAAACTTGAAAGGGTAGCTTTGTAAGTATTTTTTAAAGGGGACAATGCAATAATTACATGACCTCTTAAAAAGTTCTACTCCCCAAAAAGGACATCCAATATGGGACAGAGGGAGTAATAAACTATGCAAAAAACAAGACACGAAATATACGCGGGAAAACCCTGAGGGAAAAAATCAAGGGGCAAACCAATGATAATTTCCACTAATAAAATCAACCAGTACAACGTTGTTCTCAAGTTATGCCCGAACTCGAGAAGTTACAATCAGAGAATTCCAAAATAATACTATCTACATTTACTACAATCAACCCATCCCAAACACCCGTTGGAAAAACTATCCTCCCTAAGAATCTAAAACAGAACAGTAGTACACCCACGAAACCGATCTCTCATCTTTGTCATTGCACTTTTCACGGCAAAGCCAAATTCCCTGCTCAATGGAAGATAACACTGAACACCAGACCGTGTATACAATTTTTTTTTTTTTTTGATAAATAAAATGTATTAGAAAGCGTTCAAAAGGGGAACGCATCCTAAGAGAATTCCAGATTCCAGGGTAGGGTGACAGATACCTAAGCTTTACATCGTTTACCACTCTACGAGACGCTCCTCGCCATCAGTCTTCTCTCCACCAAACTTGTAGGTTTGAGAGAAGGGGTGAGATATTTTTTGTTTTATGCATCAACTCCCTTTACCCATTAACTCCCTCTACCCATCAACTCCCTCACGAGGCTACATCTCTCCCAACTCATACCTTGGAGGTGCCAACAACATTCATATTCCTACAACATGCATACGCCAACACTGATGTGTCAACCACATATACCATACTGATACTTCGCCAACACACATATTCCTACAACATGCATACGGCAACACACTCATCCTGATACTTAGGTGCGCTAACAAGGCGCATACCTTGATAAACCAATAAGGCACATACCGCAACCAACACTCATGCGCACAACACGCATACCCCGATGCTCCTATAATGCACATACTGTCTTCTGAAATACACCCAATTATATAGCCAAACACATCCATCCAAATCACTTCACCCACGAGAAATATCAACATGGACGCCACGTCCACAATTTTATCACTTGTGGGTGAAATAACCCAACATTAGGCAGTAGTTTCTATCAATTGCACCTAGCTACATTCCTGTCTTGGGATAGTTCGATCTTTTTTGTTATGGTCTGTCTTTAGCTTCTATAACTAACTCTCTCATGACTCATTGGCAGGTGTGGATACCATCAAAAAAATTCTGATCCATCTCTTCCTGTCGATGGAGTTTTTGGCCTTGCTGATGGCAAATCAAGCCTTCTGCGGCAGCTACACAGTCTAAATCTAACACGGAATGTAATTGGTCATTGTTTCAGTAGGCGAGGGGGAGGATTTCTTTTCTTTGGAGATGGTCTCGTCCCCTCAGGAATTGTTTGGACGCCAATGGAAACCAATCCCTTGTAAGTACTCCTATGGAACTACTCCATATCGCCACTTCGTTCTTTTGATCATCTCATTGTGATTTATTTCAGGAACCACTACTTGTCTGGACCAGTGGACCTCCTGCTTGGTGAGCAGACTCTGGTTGCTGAGAATCTTGATATAGTTTTTGACAGTGGGAGCACCTACACTTATCTAAATTCCCATACATATATCAATACACTTTCTAAGGTGGGGAAGTTGAGTGTTCAAGCCCTGCTAGGGCAATATTGTGTGTGTGCACATGCGCGTTTGCTTGAACTTTGGAAAGGAAAAAAAAAAAAAAAAAACTCACTCTGATTAGTGTTTTCAGATTATGACAGAGATAAAAACAAAGCCGTTACAGGCAGTAGATGATGAACTACCAGTGTGCTGGAAAGGTGTAAAACCTTTTCGATCCATAGAAGCAGTCAAAAACTACTTCAGTCCCTTAGCGTTAAGGTTCAGGAACAATGTTCGTTTTGCATTACCACCTGAAAATTATCTCATCGTGACTGTAAGAACATCTTGAAACCAGTTTTACTTGAATTATTACTAAAAGATAGAACAATTATACATTCATAACTTGGACAGTTGACAAGCTCTTGCTTTACAGTCTCGTGGCAATGTGTGCATGGGGATTCTGAATGCTGGCGAAATAAATTTGGAACATCCCAATATCATTGGAGGTAAGAAATGCTAAAGAACAAAAACCCAAATACACAAATTTTGTTTATGCAAGAGTTGATTTGATTTGAGTTAACCTCTTTATTACTTTTACAGACATTTCTATGTTAGACAAGGTGGTGGTTTATGACAATGAGAGAAGGATGATTGGATGGGCTTCTTCGAATTGTGATAGGCGATTTTGAACTTTTTTCTTGTATCTTTCTTCAACTCGAGTATGATTAGAGCATTTTTACTTGAAAATTTTACAGTTTGTGATAATAATATTGTTTCTCAACCTTTGTGCAGCCAAAACTTGGGTAATATTAGCAGAGCATTGTCATGCAATTGAAGATTCTTGAGAAGAGACTGGAGGAATAAGGCTGAAAGGTAGATAATGTAACTGGTGTCAGGCATGGATTTTCACCAGGGATATCGTACAATAGCATGAAAGTAAAATTTATAGAAATGTGTATACACACACACACACACACAATTATATATTGAGGAGGATACAAGTTATATTTTGATTTTGATTTTAATCTTTCTTTCTAGTGGCTGGCTTTCAAAAGTGACTCAAAATTCTCTCCAGATGACTTATTTCTGCAGTACCTCACAGTGGAACTTTACCTATTTACTTTGAAATTTCGCTACTTTAAATTGTGAATTTTACATTGCCTTGGATTTAGAATTGGAGAAATTTAAATTCAAATTTTGTATTAAAAATTTGGTCTTTTGGGCTCAGCCCTATTTTCCACTTCATCAGTGTTTCTAGATTTATTAGAAAAATCACAAAAAAAAAATATTGCCAACATGTTTAAAGTTTTCTCATTTTTCTATTTTTCATGTTCTCTTCTTTTGTCTTTTTTTTTTTTTTTTTTTAGTCTCCTTAAAATTTCTTCTTGCACACGCAATATGCAATATGTATGCGAAGCTACGAAGCGCAAATATGGATATGACACGATACAGATACAAATATGGTGATAAGATAAATTTTAAAAAAACAAGATATTGTACGGCATGATACAATAATAGAAAATTAATAAATTATATTTGTTTCAATTCAGAGGAAAATATAAGGATTGAAATTATATTCTATCTCTTCACTGATGGTGTTACGTCTAATTTATAGGACTTAACGAAAATATGTAACTAATTACCCACTAATTAACCTTAAATTAAGGAGTAAATAATTTAATTTTATAGCTGTACTATAAGAGATAAAATCTCAACACTTCCCCTCAAGTTAGTGCATAAATATCACACATGCTCTAATACCCTTAATTTTAAAATGATAGTTTCGGTATTTATTTATTTGTTTTAATTGTATTTTTAATTATTTTATTGATTATTTGACTAATTGTTTATGGGTTTAATTGAATTAAGTATTAATTGAGTATTTGATTATGTATCTATGTATTATTTGTATTTGCCTATGTGTTAATTGTTAAATTAGATTATGTGCTTAAATGATGTTTTGATTAATTGTAAATTAAATGTTTTATTTTATTTTTCTTTTATAGTTATAATTAGTAGTAATAGGCCAACCAATTGGGTCCCATAGACTACTTGGATAGGAGGTTGGATGAGTATAGATTATTACCCATGGATAGTTGTGTGTGTGTGTGTGTATATATATATATATATATATATATATATATAAAAGGAAAATTAATTTATTAATTACTTTTATGGTAACTTGGGTAGTAATATTTAATCCGATGTATATATTTTATATTTAAATAATAAAAATATAGATAGATTTGATATGTATTATGTTTTAAGTTACTTTATAATATTATGGTAACTTAAGTATTATTGGATAATCCATTAATAAATAATGGGTAATGTATTAATTACTTTTATAGTAACTTGGGTAGTATTATTTAATCAGATGTATATGTTTTATATTTAAATAATAAAAATATACATAGATTTGATACGTGTTATGTTTTAAGTTACTTTATAATATTATGGTAACTTAAGTATTATTGGATAATCTATTAATAAATAATGGGTAATGTATTAATTACTTTTAAGGTAACTTGGGTAGTAATATTTAATTTGATGTATATGTTTTATATTTAAATAATAAAAATATACATAGATTTGATACGTATTATGTTTTAAGTTACTTTATAATATTATGGTAACTTAGGTATTATTGGATAATCCATTAATAAATAATGGAATGTGTATAATTTATTTATTTAATAAAGATATACATAAATTATATTCATAACATATTTTACTTACCTTTTTAATATTTTAAATTTTTTTTAGTTGACTTGAATTGGGAAAAGGGTTAGGATTATTTTATTTAGCCTATAAATATATAGCTATAGGTTGTAAAAAGGGATTAGAAATATTTACGTAATATATTATAGAGAGAGAGTTAGAGAGGGAAAGAGGAAAAAGAAGGAAGGAGGAGAAAAATCTTGTAGAGAGAAGATTAAGGAAGAAGAAATTTAACTTTCGATCCGAATGTTTAAGGCAAGTTCTTCTTCTACCTTTTTCCCTTTGATTCATATTTCTGTACATGCTTAAGAAATTTCAGGATTTATTAAACACATAAAATTAAATAATTATGCATGTTTAATTGGATTGAAACATAGGTTTTATGAAATTGGTTCATATCTGTTCATGTGTTATGAATTGATAAATACATGATTTTGATTTGATTCCTGGTGTGCATTTTTACATATTTAAATTATGTATTTTTCATAAATGTGGAATGATGGAACGTAGAAACATGCCTTGGATTCCTGAACATTAAATAGGGAATAGGTTTGGGTTTAAATAAATTTAAATAGACTCAATCATAATGATGTTTGCTATTTGAATGTTTTAAACAAACGAATGAATTTAATCTTTTAAAATGTTTTAACAATTGAGATTAAATGTGTAGGATGAATTAGATATGGAGAATGCTTATTTGACGGTATAATAAAATATCACCATGTATAAGATTCAGTTTGTGTAGGACATATGATATAGAAATCTTAAATAAATAATAAGTCATTCCTATTTTGTGATAACTTGATATCATATTATCATAGTTATTTTTGGATTGTTTGATGTATTTCCTTAATTGTTACATCAATTATTGGATTGTCTGGTTTATGCACCGATATGAGACGGTGGCATTCTAGGGATGGATTAACTTATCAGTTAAGTCCTACTTATTTTATATAAGAGAATGGATTAACTAAAATGTTAAGTCCTACTAATATTCAAGTCAGATCAGCTGAATAAGTTGAATGACTTATGGAGGATTAATTTATATTCGATAGGATGGTTATTAGATTATATATATATAAGTATGGTGCCATGATATGAGCTTGAGTCTCAGGATCAGTGGTTAGGGCGTGTATATCGCTAGGAATATGTATCTAGATATAGTGTAGTTGTGTACCCTAGTAGGTCTAGGTACTCATGCCCACTATATATGCGTTTTGCATATTGCCTACTATTCAGATTGAGACAATCATATAGTCTAGTGAAGTTCCTTTAGTGTGTGTGTATATATATATATATATATATATATATATATATACGGATTACTAGTTACTGTTGGATTGAATAGGATGTATACGTGTATCAGATCTCTGCTTAGACTGTAGTAGAGTAGAATTTGTTTGTGGGCCTGACCTACCATTATTTTTCAGGTGTTCGTCAAGAGTAGAGGTTGTTCGTGTTGAGCTGGAATTAGTTTATTTTATTCTTCCAATTCTACATAGGATATTCTTTTATGCTTCGTTCTTTAGTTGTAGACAGTTATTGCTGTCACTTATTCAGATTGGTTTTTAGGGGTCCACACAGTATGGATTCCCAAGTTATATTAATGGAGGATTTATTGTATCAAAATGATTTTATTATTAATGGAAATTTATTAAGATGCTTTATTATTGGATTTTTCTTTTAATTTTCTTTCAGCAAATTATCTATTCCTATTAATTCTTTTGTACTCCGTATTCGTTTATTACCGATTTTGTTTTTGATATCCTCGGGTATTCGGGCGTGGGCCTGGCCAACCCGCATTTGAAAATCCGGGGGTATCACACATGCCCAACTTGTCTAAAATTTTTGAAACACTTGATTTGAGACTGTTTTGGTGAGAACGTCTGCTAGTTGATCCTCAGATCGAATCTTAGGCAACTGATAAGTGCACAAAACTTGTTATTTTATACTTAATAATAAATGATTAATTAATATTTTTTATTCGATAAATGTTCTTATCCTTACTTTTCATATTTTGTAGGGGCTGATTTCAAGATAAGAAGAAAAGAGATAAAAAAATAGCAAGTTTATGAGATTATACGATCACTCATATTCAAATTTGACTTTCCATCACATCAAGTCAAAGATCAAGCCAAAATTGAAAAATATAAGACATATTGGAAAGCACGTCAAGTCAAAAAGATCAAGCCAAATTGGAAAGCAGCAAGATTTTAGGAAGATTTTATTTTATTTTATTTTCACTTCTATAATTATAATTTTCTCTTCCCGATCGTTCCATTCTAAACTCTATAAATAGGGACATATGTAGAGGACGTAGGTGTGTACATTGTTAGTGAAATAAAATAATAAAAGTTAGAGAATTTTTGTCTTCAATTTATTTCTTATAATTTTTGTTATGAAGATTGTTCTTATTTATTTATTTTGTTTTCTTATTATACTAGCTTAAACACCCCTTCTCAAGGGAGTGATGAAGCCACCATGATTGAAATATAAGTAAATTTAGTTTAATTCTTTTATGAAATTTTCTCTTTAGAGCATTATTTTACTCTTCTATTCTGTAATCATATTTTGATAAAAATATTAGAAAGAAGATTCTTCGTATTTGTCAATTAATAGTAATTCGGAGAATGCCTATTTCTATTTACCAAAGATATATCAGATTAAGTAAAATATATTTTCAAGCAATTATTATTTCACTCGTTTATTTTCTTTCATCTTTTCAAGTTGTAATTGGACTGGTGGAGTGATTTGCTTATAATAGGAAAATTTACATACAGAGAAATATACAAATTTATTTATAGTAAACTGTGGTGGTAGATTCTTTCCTTGAGATTTTTCTTATTATTTGATCAGAATTTATTTCGTCTTATTTATTTATTTTATTTTTAGTTTATTAATAATAAATCATTAAATTTTTTTTAAAGTTATTCTTCCTTAAATTTTAGTTTTAATTTTGATTAACGAGTTTAAATCTTGTATGGTTCGACCCTACTTATTCTATACCATTTTTAATTTAGTTTTTGTAGGTTTTTTTTTTTTATTTTTTTTATTTTTGCACGAAGGGTAGAAAAACAACGACAGAATCCATAATTCTACATTCGTCCATGCAAAATCAGTTGAGTCAACTCACTTCAGTTTTGTCTGAACGCCAAAAAGGTACATTGCCTAGCCAACCTGAAATCAACCCTCAAGCCAAATGGGTTCATCATATTGAAACTTTTCAAAACTTTTCAAAAAGAACCAAGATTCTCAAATTGATAATCCTATTCTTCCGCCATATGTTCCACCTGCACCTTTCCCTTCCCGAATAGTTAACAATAAAAAGGATTCGCAATACAGTGAGATTTCAGAAATTTTTCAAAACTTTCAAATTAATATTCCATTTCTCACTGCCATTAAGCAAATTTCTTCTTATGCAAAGTTCATTAAAGACTTAGTCAAGAGGAAAACCAATATCCCGAAGGAAGCCTTCATAGCCCAACATTGTTCCTCATTCTTACAAAACTAAGCTATGGTCAAACATAAAGACCCTGGTAGTCCGACTATCACTTGTAGGATTGGCGAAACTTTTGCTGACCAGGCCCTATTGGATTTAGGTGCTAGTGTGAACTTGTTACCTTATTCTGTGTACCAAGAGTTAGGATTAAATAATTTGCGAAAAACCGATGTTAGAATCCAATTAGCTGATCGATCAGTTAAGATTCCAAGGGGTATCATTGAGGATGTGATTGTCAAAGTGGAAGATTTTTATTATCCAGTCGACTTCATTGTTCTAGACATCCAATCTACTCAAGGTAAACAGATTCCCATCATTTTAGGTCGACCATTCTTAGCTACCGTCAATGCATTGATCAATTGTAGAAATGGGAACATGACCTTAACCTTTGGAAATATGAAAGTCGAAGTGAATGTGTTTAGTTTGATGAAACAACCCCCCGACTCAGATTTTATTGAAGAAGTTTGTCTCGTTGAGTCGTTGATCGCTAAAACCTTTGAGCAATCCTACCCTAGGAATCCACTCCACCAATGTCTAGCTCATTTTGGTGCTGATTTTGATGAGGATAATTATATTGAAGAGGTCAATGCCTTATTAGATTCCACTCCAATCTTTGACATACCTAAGTACCGACTCCACTTTGAATCCTTGTCTTCACCAAATCACCCTAAATCTGAAACAGTGAAAGAGTCTCCTAAAGTTAAATTAAAGCCTCTCCCTGAGACTTTAAAATACTCTTACCTAAGTGAATCTGATACTTTTCCTGTGGCGATAGCCTCTGACCTAACCCATAACCAGGAGACCCAGCTACTTGAGGTGCTTAGGGTGAATAAAGAAGCCATAGGTTGGTCTATTGATGATATCAAAGGCATTAGTCCTTTAGTGGTGTAACATCGTATTCATTTGGAGAACGATGCTAAAACCTGTAGGCAACCCCAGAGGAGACTGAATCCTAACTTGAAGGAAGTTGTCCGTACTGAAGTTATCAAACTCCTTGATGCCGGTATGAAGTCCGACATTATTGTCGTTCCCAATGATCGCAATGAGTTAGTTCCTACCCGTGTCCGAACAGGGTGGCGAGTTTGCATCGACTATTGAAAGCTCAATAGTGCAACTAGGAAGGATCATTTTCCTCTACCATTTATTGACCAAATGTTAGAGAAATTAGCCGGTCAGTTATTCTATTGCTTCTTAGATGGTTACTCTGGCTATAATCAAATCCCTATCCACCCTGATGACCAACACAAAACCACTTTTACTTGCCCATTTGGTACATTTGCTTATCGTCGTATGCCATTTGGCTTATGCAATGCCCCCGCTACATTCCAGCGGTGCATGATGTGTATCTTTAGTGACATGGTTGATAAGTTTCTAGACATTTTCATGGATGACTTCTCTGTCTTTGGCTCGTCATTTGAACAATGTCTACACCATCTTACTCTCGTGCTTCAGCGTTGTCGTCATACTAACCTCGTTCTTAATTGGGAAAAAAGTCATTTCATGGTCCAAAAAGGAATTGTCCTAGGTCATACCATCTCTAGTGCCGGAATTGAGGTAGATAAAGCAAAAATTAATCTTACCTCCAATTTACCCATTCCCACAACTGTCTGGAACATTAGAGCTTTCCTAGGTCATGCTGGTTTCTATAGGCGTTTCATTAAAGACTTCAGTTAGATCGCACGACCTTTGACCCATCTTCTAGCTAAGGATGCCCCATTTGAGTTTACTGATGCTTGTCACTCTGCTTTTGAGCAATTAAAATCCGCTCTCACTACTGCACCCATAATCCGACCACCTGATTGGAACCTACCCTTTGAGATCATGTGTGATGCATCAGATTATGCAGTCGGAGCTGTTTTAGGGCAAAGAGTTGATAGAGCACCCTATGTCATCTACTATGCTAGTAAGACCCTGAATGATGCCCAACTCAATTACTCCACCACTGAAAAGGAATTGTTGGCGGTAGTGTTCTCATTTGACAAATTTTGCTTTTATTTGATAGGATCTAAGGTCATCATTTATGCCGATCATGCTGCGTTGAGGCATCTTCTCTCCAAAAAAGATGCCAAACCTAGGTTGATACGATGGATCTTACTCCTTCAGGAATTTGACCTTGAAATCCGTGATAAGAAAGGCTCTGCGAATGTAGTAGCTGATCATTTGTCTCGTCTAGCTATTGATTCGATTAGTAATTCTCTTCCCATCTCTGTTTATTTCCCTAATGAGCAACTTTTTGCGGTATCTCCTGCACCATGCTATGCCGATATTGTCAATTACATTGTCACAAGTTAAATCCCTTCTACTTGGTCCAAGCAAGAGAGAGATAAATTCCTATCTAAGGTTAAAGAATATTTTTGGGATGACCCTTACCTATTTAAGTATCGTCAAGATCAAATCATCCGTAGGTGTGTCCCCGAGGTAGACCAAGAGTCCATCATTTCCTTCTGTCATGATCAGGCCTGTGGTGGCTATTTTAGCTCTAAATGGACCGCTGCAAAAATCTTACAATCAGGCTTTTATTGGCCCACCCTTTTTAAGGACACCCATACCTACTGTGTAGCATGTCCTAGATGCCAACTCTTAGGTAAGATTACCAAAAGGAATGAATGGCCCCAACAATCCATACTAGTGGTAGAAATCTTTGATGTTTGGGGTATTGACTTCATGGGATCCTTTATCTCTTCGTATGGGTATATCTACATCCTTCTGGCAGTTGATTATGTGTCCAAATGGGTAGAAGCCTTAGCCACCAAGACAGCCGACCATAGGGTTGTGGTGCAATTCTTGAAAGACTTAATTTTGTCTCACTTCGGTACACCTCGAGCCATAATCAGTGATAATGGTTCACATTTCTGTAACAAAGTCTTTGCTCGCCTAATGTCCAAATATGGGATCACCCATAAGGTAGCCCTATCTTACCACCCACAAACCAATGGTCAAGCTGAGGTATCCAATAGGGAGATCAAGCATATCTTAGAGAACACGGTTAAACCCACAGAAAGGATTGGAGTCTCCGCCTTCCTGATGTTTTATCGACCTATCGTACTGCTCATAAGACCCCTATAGGAATGTCTCCATACTGATTGGTCTATGGCAAAGCTTGTCACTTGCCTGTCGAACTGGAGCATCGTGCTTATTGGGCCATCAAGGCCATGAACTTTGATTATGATCAAGTTGGTGAGCGTAGGACACTTCAACTTAATGAGTTGGAAGAAATCAGATATGATGCCTATGAGAGTTCGAGGATTTATAAAGCTAAGACTAAATTGGAACATGACAAACACATTTTAAGAAAGGAGTTTTTGCAAGGCAAAAAGGTTCTTTTGTATAACTCCCGTCTTGCATTGTTTCCTGGGAAGTTGCGGTCACGATGGTCTGGTCCATATTATGTACACCATGTTGCTAGTCATGGTGCCATTGAGGTACAAGATCCCAAAACTGGAAAGTTGTTTAAAGTCAATGCACATCGTTTAAAACATTTCCTTGAGTTTGCGGCTCACATTATTGATGAAATTTTCCTCGTCAATCCGGTCTATTCGGACTAATCTCTTTTGGGGGAACTTCCCCCATTGCGTCTGGCTGAAGACGTTAAACTTAGTGCTCCTGGGAGGCAACCCAGCCGGTTGTGTCTATCCAGTTACCTTGGATTGATTTTCGAGTCTTAACCAATTGTATATTACTCCTACTCGTTAGCTCCGTAACTGTTTAGTATTTGAATATGGTTATATTTTGTTTGGGGGTGCTATATTTATCTGATATGGTTTTCGATTGTTTTCCATAACCTCTTTTGCAGAAATTGTACTCCACATCGAACCAAGTGAGGTAATATGTTCTAATGTTTCTCTATATATTTCCACCTATACTTGTCCATTTAATTTCCATATTCTTTGGTTCCAACACTAGGGACAGTATTGTCTTTTGTTTGGGGGTGGGGCAATGATCTTGCTTCAATGGAAATTATAAGTTGAATTGCATGTCATGTTAAATTTGGGTGAATTATTGTTCATGTATGATTGAGAATTGGTATTTTAGGGCGTTTTGAATCTTTAAATTCATGTTTTGGTATATGTGGTCCACATCATTGTCCAGTTTGACTATTGTTAATGATAAGTAGTCTCTAGTGTACTTCACTTCTTACAGATGCACACTAGTATCTTTTTGTGGGGTATAAGCCTAACCTTATGTGATATATTACATGTGTTGAATACGAGTTAGTAGACCTTGAAAAGTAGATGTCCTTGGCATGATAATAGAGAAATATGCATGATTAGTTAATACCTTTCACGAAGTAACCGGGCCTCTTGCCTCAGTAAGCAGTGAGTGTTCGCGTCAAAAAGTGGAGGGTTAAGAAAAAAATGAAAGTGTTGGTTTAGGTTTGAAGCCTAGTTGACTTGAGTTAATAAGCTTTTTGGGGTGTCTTTACACCTAATACCCTAAAACCGTCTAGTTGGGAGTCATTAGCCTGAAGCTCGTTACATAGGTCATCTAGAAAGCTTAAAGGACTTAAAAATTGCACAGCTTGCCGTCTGAAGAAAAAAAAAAGGAGGGAGAGAGATGGAAGAAAGAAAAAATGAAAAATTCGCATGCATAAGTAAAGTCATGAATTCATACCTTGGGTACTCTAACTTGGAAGGGAATATTAATGAGTTGAAACTATTGTGATGTGTAATATAAGGGCAAAAGGGTAAAACACATAATTGGATGCTAGTTCACTTCAAAAGGAAACTAGGGATTGATTGTTATTGGAAATATATTGAAATGAACTTTATGTGGGGATCATAGTATTATTGCATGTAATTAGAGGTTTGGGACTGTTTGAGAATATTAATCTTTCTTATACTTGAAATAATAGCTAACTTGACGATGATGTGTATGCAATAGTTTCTGATTCCATGGAAGTAATTGAGCTAAGTGCAAAGTGTGCACAATTTTGGATGTTTGTGGGTATCATCTCTGGAAACCCTTAGGAGGCTAGAGCTCGTCCACTAGGGTAACCTAGGGGTTTAAGGGCTTATTGCATATGGTAAATGCAATTAAAAATAGCCTGCAAAAGTGGCACATTTTTAGTTAGGAGTCAGTTAAAGTAACAATTTTGTAAACTTATCTCTTTTTGCCTTTAATTGCTAGAGGACTAGCAAAAGTTTGTTTGGGGGTAATTTAATAAGTGCACAAAACTTGTTATTTTATACTTAATAATAAATGATTAATTTATATTTTTTATTAGATAAATGTTCTTATCCTTGCTTTTCATGTTTTGTAAGGGCTGATTTCAAAATAAGAAGAAAAGAGATAAAAAAAAATAGTAAGTTTATGAGATTATACGATCAGTCAAATTCAAATTTGACTTTCCATCACATCAAGTCAAAGATCAAGCCAAAATTGAAAAATATAAGACAGATTGGAAAGCACGTCAAGTCAAAAAGATCAAGCAAAATTGGAAAGCAGCAAGATTTTAGGAAGATTTTATTTTATTTTATTTTCACTTCTGTAATTAGAATTTTCTCTTCCCGATCGTTCCATTTTAAACTCTATAAATAGGGACATATGTAGAGGAGGTAGTTATGTACATTGTTAGTGAGATAAAATAATAAAAGTTAGAGAATTTTTGTCTTCAATTTATTTTTTATAATTTTTGTTATGAAAATTGTTCTTATTTCTTTATTTTGTTTTCTTATTATGCTAGCTTAAACACCCTTTCTCAAGGGAGTGATGAAGCCATCATGGTTGAAATATAAGTAAATTTAGTTTAATTCTTTTATGAAATTTTCTCTTTAGAGCATCATTTTACTTTCTATTCTGTGATCATATTTTGATAAAAATATTAGAAAGAGGATTCTTCGTGTTTGCTAATTAATGGTAATTTGGAGAATGCATATTTCTATTTACTAAAGATATATCAGATTATGTTAAATATGTTTTCAAGCAATTATTATTTCACTCGTTTATTTTCTTTCATCTTTCCAAGTTGTAATTGGACTGGTGGAGTGATTTGCTTATAATAGGAAAATTTACATACAGAGAAATATACAAATTTATTTATAGTAAGCTGTGGTAGTGGATTCTTTCCTTGAGATTTTTCTTATTATTTGATCAGAATTTATTTCGCCTTATTTATTTATTTTATTTTTAATTTATTAATAATAAATCATTAAATTGTTTTTAAAGTTATTCTTCCTTAAATTTTGGTTTTAATTTTGATTAACGAGTTTAAATCTTGTATGGTTCGACCCTACTTATTCTATACCATCTTTAATTTAGTTTTTGCAGGTTTTTTTTTTTTTATTTTTGCACAAAGGGTAGAAAAACAACGACAGAATCCATAATTCTACATTCGTCAGCAACTCCACAATTTTCCCATCCAATTTTTCCTTAATGAAGAATCTGTTTATTTCGACATGCTTCGTACGGTCATGTTGAACTGGATTATGGGTAATACCACGTGCTGCCTTTTTGTCACAATATAGTTGAATAGGTTGCCTAGGTAGATAATCCAAATCTCGCAAGAGAAGTCTTAACCACAATGTTTCACAAAGTGTAAGCGTTATACCTCTGAATTCTGCTTCTGCACAGCGAGCAACAACATTTTGTTTCTTGCTTCTCCATGTAACAAGATTACCTCCTACAAAAGTAAAGTAACCAGAAGTAGATCACCTATCTCTATAGCTCCAACCCAGTCAGCATCAGTATATGCATCTATGTTTTGATAACCAGTATTTTTAGTGAACAAAATTCCTTTTCCAGGAGCAGATTTCAAATATCTCAAAATGCGCATAACTGCATTCATATGTTGCTCTCCAAGATCATGCATAAATTGGCTAACAGTGCTCAATGCATAAGCCAGATCCGGTCTCGTGTGTGATAAGTACATCAATCTCCCTACAAGTCTTTGGTATCTTCCCTTATTAGCAGGTACTTGATTGGACTCAACACATAACTTCAATCCTTCTTCCACTGGTGTCTCAGTTGGTTGACATGCTATCATGCCAGTCTCTTGTAATAGATCTAAGGCATATTTTCTTTGAGATAGAAAGATTTTTTTTTAGATCAGGATACTTCGATCCCAAGAAAATATCTCAAATGACCTAGATCTTTCATTTCAAATTCTCTGGACAAGTACTTCCTGAGAGCCTTCATTCATTCAGGATCATTCCTTGTAACCACCATGTCATCTACATATATAATGAGTGCAGTAATCTTACCCTGTTATTTCTTTAGGAATAACATGTGGTCTGAACTACTCTGACGATAGCCAAAGGCTATCATAGATTTTGTGAATCTTCCAAACCATACTC